AAATTTACTGTCTAACAGTTAATTTGGATGACCAATACCTATAGGCTAGCTAGTTAAACTAAAGCCGGCTCTTTAGCTAATCAACATAATTATGTCCCACTAACTACTAGGATAGTCGTTAGTGTTAGTCCTTGTGTTCTTAATCGTGATTACATTTTATTTGGAGTGGATTCTTCCATCATAATCTCACTTAACCTCATATATATATTATAATTATTATTGGGTTGGAAGACTAGTTTTGATAAGAAATTTAACTTTCACGTGCTAATAGTATTAATATATATGAAGTAAACTCGGTCTCGTACAACAATGTTATGGCCGACCATTTTACCACGTAGCATGTTGGAATTATCAAGAAAGTTACTTTCGTGTTTGTTTTTGTGTTTGGCCAATAAGGACGTAGATGCTAAAGGTGATAATTGTGAGGATATAAAGTTAAGCAAGTACAAATATATAATATTACTTGGGATAAATTCCGGCTTAAAATTATCTTAATAATTAATTTCGGTTTCAAACTTGAGTTAGAAAACTACGTGTATATCTTATATTTTAATGGTTCTCTTAATGTATATTGAACATGATTCATATGTTAATTTGTGTTCATATGATGAACACGGTTCACATTTTTATTCCCACTAAAGAAGATACATGTGTATTAATTATGTGTTCATATAAAATCTAATGGATGATTCTCTTAATTTTGTGGAATTCATATACTAAACATGATTCATACATTTCAAGAGCAAAATCCATCGTCCTCAAATGTTAGAAGATTAGATTCTTCAACAAATCAAACTTGACTCCGACACTTGTAGAATCTGAAACCCTAAACTTATAACTTGCTTACATTCCCTGTTTTTTGTCTCGAATTTAGCACATTTTTTAAAATTTATTTTTCTATATATGATATTAGATCCATAGTTAGAATTAAACGTCAGTTGATTGTTTTTTACCTACAAATTATCACTAATAGGGGTGAGCAGTGGGTGGTTTTATGTGGATTTGGAAGAGTTTGAACTCACTCATCACATGACAGATGAAGGAAAAAATGACTCACACCCACCCGTCATATACATGTGGGTAGGGTGATTGTGGATGCTGGACTGTTGAACGGATTCGGTGAGTTTAGAGCATATATACATTGCAAAAGGTAACATGATTTAAATTATTTTAAACTTAAAATGAAAGAAATCTTCAAACTAAAAAAATTTTAGTCCATAAAACATATGCATCTTTAGAATTAAAATAGTAATACTAGTAATTATTCACATATAACAAAAATATTCAACTAATAAACATAATCAAAGTCTAATAATAAACAAATAAAAAATGAAGATAAAGCTTCATCATAATTTAGCTAATTCTCCAAGTTTTCAAACTATAATCACTCACATGAACCCATATGATTGTCTGAGACTTCAAACCACAATCATTCACTGAACACTCTTAAAACCAAACAATAGAATAAGTAAAATTAGTATATAAACAAGCAAAATTAAAGAGGAATCATATAAGATAGTGAACGTATGATATAGATTTTCAGTCATTCAAACAAATTAGACTTTGTGAACATCCTCAATAACCATAATCATGATAAAATATTCATTCGCAATTAGGAAGTACAACTAGAGATTTTTTTACACATCTTTTGATCGAAATTGGGGGATTTTTTTTGTGTTTGAGGTTTTCATTTTAGGTAAAACTATAAGCTAAGTTAGAGTTCCGCTAGTTTGGAGGAGTGGGTGAAAAGGTGGTGGAGTCACCTATATATTCTAGTATTATAAATGCGTTGTTACGGATCGGTAAATCGCTATTACGACTGGAATAGTCGGGGGTCTCGTTGTAATATGTAATCTCCTTGATAGTGAAACTGGCTCTCTCTCGCCCGTGGACTAGCTAACACACATCGTGTTAGTGAACCACGTAAATCGTGTGTCTTGTTTTTCGATTCTCACTTTCTTATTCTTGTTTTCTCGATTCCGGCGATTTCCCGATCCGTAGCAGCGCGTTTATAACATCTAGAATCCAGACTCACCCACAACATAATAGGTCCATGAGTCGATTGTTATTGAATATGGATTGATTTGTGGTTCAACCACCCAATGCTCACTCCTAATCACTAATTATATTCGACCCTCTGGTAGCTAGGAATAATTATATTGCTCATATCATCTTGTAATCTAAAGTACAATTGACATATCCCATATATTTCTCAATGAGATCATATATATATATATATGATGCATCTTTGCCCAATGGACTTATTCAAGTTAGGTTACAAACGTACAAGAACCACAGAAATCGGGCAAAGCACCAAATAAGATCATCCAACCACAAAGTTGCATGCTTTTAGGATAATCATACATGATACATCTGTGCTCTCTATAGATTCTGTTTTAGGTAATTGAGTTGCTTCTCTTTCAATCTGTACTTAGGTTGTTTGGTGTACACATATATAGGGGTGATACTTGCTCTACTTTTTAAAATATACGATACTCATGGTATTCCTAGTGAAATATCTTCATATAAACCATGAATTAAATCACGTTTGAGATATGATATAACACTTAATGCATAAACCACTTGTCACAATTCTCAAAATCTAAATAAAATTAATTTAATAAAAAATAATCAATTATTCATTATTTTTTGAATTACAACGAAGTACATCCAATAGTCATATATCACTAATAATATGACATATTCCAAAAGTATATGTTACCAATAACTTTGAACTTGGAGGCCCCAGGTTGGAATCCATTCAATAGTACCTAAACACAAAATATAAAACACATATCTCCCTTATAAAAAAAAAGTATACATTACCATGTATATAGAGGGTTGGAGTGAACGAGGTACAACCTAACTGATGATCGGCAGTAGGCACACTTGCCATTGCATGGTCGTGTGTTTTGATTCCTAGTGACGTCACTTCCCCTTCGACCCCCTCTAGTAGCACCTTGTAATAGCTAGGTTACTATAAAAAAAATAGAGGACTGGAAATTCTTGATTTAACGAACAATCCGGTCTCCAGTTGCTATTTTGACAGAAAGTGCGACCGGAAACTGGGTTATTATGGTCCAGTTTAACCAGACCGGACCGGAACCCACCCCTAATATGGACGGCTGGATTGTGGAATCAATGCTTTGTGCTTTACAATTATTGAGTTGGTGGGTATATCTCAAGATGATGCAGAAAAGGCAGTATTGGGATGGCTGGAGATCGAGTTGGTCCAAATAGAGAAAGGAGGAAGAAGCAGCAGAGGGTGGAGAGGGAAAGCAAGAATATCATTACCTACCTGGGATCCTCAAATATATGTATGTTTGTTTGTATGATTAATTCCTTTTTGAATCGAATGAATAGTAGTCCAAGAAATACAGCTATACCTAGTGGATTTTAAAACCTGTGGGTATTTGGAGAATCCTGTAATTAAATATTTGTGTAAAATCTCAAATAAAATCCAGCAGAAAACCATTGGCATCCTAGAACTTTATCATTTAGATTGGTCTTTCAATTAGTCAAGTTTGATTATATTCTCCATCCCATCAACACTTTGTTTTTTTATTTCATTAACAAAAACTAGAAATTTTAACCACAAGATAGGGAATATGTAAACAGAGAATTAATGTGAGACTCGTATTCATGAATTACTAATGTTCTCAAAGAGGATAGCGAAATTTTCTGAAATAATATAAAAAAAATCATAAAAGTAAAATGATGTGGAAAAATGTTGTATGATAAGAAAATTGCAAAGTATCCTCGATGTTGCCTTAAAAACTAAGGTTATATCTCATCACAATACTTAGAATCCGACCGCAGAGCTAATTTAATTTTCTTCACTTTGTACTTCATGGACAATCAAAGCTCCACAAAAGAAAGAAGAAAAAATCTTCAAAGCATTGGACTTTTAAAAAAGTCCGACAGCAATTGGGACAAATATAATTTTGTGGAAAGCAGCTAATGTCGCATCACATCCACAAGCATAAATATATGGTTTTAAGGGTAAACTAAGTACTGAACTTTGACAATTTGATGTTAGAAAGGAAAGCAAAGGAAGAAAGTGGGGAAGCTCATGAACACAGTCATGAAGTAGAAAAACCAAACTTAGTGTTTGTCGAATCAAGAAATACAACCATATAATAATAAAATATAAATAGATTGTACGTATATGCATCTTTTTTACATAATGGGAGGTAAGGATGGATAACAAGTAGGTCAATCCTCGAATCCGCTCTCAGATTCATTTTGATTAAACCCTGATTGATATATGACTAAGTTGTTTCAATTGGTAATTATGAGTAATTTTCTATTTGACCGATCAAAATTTGAATCGCGGCAGTGACCGTTTTCAATCGGCTTTGGAAACCACCATATTTATATTATCTTTAGTAGCTTTATTTTTGAGTTAGTTTGTTACCGAACATTCATGATGTACAATTATTTATCCTCTGAAAGCTATCTCGACCCACCAAAACTATCAAACCGCGGTCTACAATCCACCAAACTCACCCATGATTTTCCTTTCAGTAATTGATTCAGAATCCTTGAATTATTAATTAGGTTTTCCTTATACTCACACACCAACCCTATAGCCTACATCAACAACATGCAACAAATGTTCAAACAGAAGATCACATACACCAACAACTAATTAATCTGTTAATCACCCAATGGGATTCAATTAGAGATATGCATGCTAAGCACTTTCTGCCCCACTGATCTCACCTAAGCAAAATAATAATCATCCTTTAAACAACAGCCACCCCCCACTCAAAAGCAACACTAACTTTGCTCATCAACATTAATATAATTAACAGAAAGGGAAATTAAAGCCACAATCTTTAACCAACCCACTTAAAGTTAATCAACAAAGAAACAAGACATTACAAAAAGGACACCAAGATCCATATATCATCAAAGCAAAAGAAACTCCACCTTCCTCACACCATCCTCATCATCATCACTTATAAATAACATCAGTTGGCCATGCAAATCTTTTCCCCCTCAACAATATCAACTCACAAAGCAAAAACAAAAGCCAACCCACCCTTTTGACCTCTCTCATCTCCCTCCCTCTCCCTCTCTTAGCTTTGAAGTAGTCAACTATGGAATCTCCATTGGAGAAGATGGAGATGGAGAGGAGGAAGAAGAAGGTGAGCTTTGGCACGATACTGAGGTATGCTGATTGGGCAGATGTGGTGTTGATGGTGATGGGGACGGTTGGGGCAATTGGAGATGGGATGTCTACAAACATCTTGCTTGTCTTCGCCAGCCGCCTTATGAACAGCCTGGGATATGGTCAGAACCAAGCAGATCGAAGCAGCTTCATGGCTGAAGTCGAAAAGGTTCAATCTTTGTGTCAAATTATGATCCTTCCCCAACTCTCTCTCTCTCTCTCTCTCTCTCTCTCTCTCTCTCTCTCTCTCTCTCTCTCTCTCTCTCTCTCTCTCTACTAATAGCTTTTGTTGGGTTTCCTTTTTGGGGTCTTTTTGTACATTGAACAGTGCAGCTTATCATTTGTGTACTTGGGACTGGCAGTCATGGTGGTGGCATTCATGGGTAAGCTTTCTCAAACCCCTTTTTTTCAAATTTGTAGCCCTACAATCCGGGTATGGTGCTCACAGCCAGACTGGACCTCGTCGGATCATGTTCTGGGCGACGTCCATGAATGTGGTGACAAGGACGCGCGCTGAGAACATGATCCGACTGGCCGGTCATAGTCGATCTGTATGAAGCATAATAGTCGGATTGCTGGTCCTAGCCCTATTACTTGTCTAGTGAAACTGATCATTTTTATGGATAGAAGCCCTAGAATTTAGATGGGTGGTTTTTTTTTTTCCTTCTTTGTGAAATGGATTGATTACCTAATTGAAGCAAAGGGAGACAATCCAATTTTTGTGTTGTGTGAAATACTTATGAAGTGTATTTATGTGTGCATGGAAGTGCAGAGGGTTATTGTTGGAGCAAAACAAGTGAGAGGCAAGTGCTGAAGATCAGGTACAAGTACCTGGAGTCGATTCTGAGGCAGGAAGTTGGCTTCTTTGATTCACAGGAAGCCACCACTTCTGAGGTCATCAACAGCATCTCCAAGGACACTTCCCTCTTTCAGGAAGTCCTCAGTGAAAAGGTACCTAGCTATAACAAGTACCCACAACATGACAATTCGTTTTTAATCGAGAACCAATTCATCTCAACAACCCAAACACGCAAATGTCACCCGAAAAAATCTTACCCGAAACACAAATGGCTCGTGACGATTAACTCATTTCCATAACTCGAGCATCTAAGAAAAAGTTTAGAGTTGAATTTTCTTGATACTCTTCCCTACACCCAAGAACAATCATACACTCCCCCCTCACCATCAACTTTAATTTGAAAGTCGAATCAGTTTTGGACTTCCTAATCCCAAATACTCGAGTAATTGGGACAAATTAGTTCGTGACACAACATCACAACTTCTTGTAACAAAAAAAATCTCGTTTTTGAATCCTCACAATCCCAATACAAACCCCTTGATAGCTTAGCATAAATCCACAACGGGTATTCGTGATCTAGACTAACTAATAATACATCTCCATAACTCTATCAAACATCTAAAAACAAGTTCAAAATTGATTTTCTTGCTAACTCTTCCATGCATACACCCAAGAACAATCATACACTCCACCAACTTCGAAAGTCGCGGGACATTGTAAATCGATTCAATTGATGAATCAGTTAATTCGTGACACCACATTGGAGCCTCTGACAACATGAAAAAAAATCCCAACGTTTGAATCCTCGCCATCCTGATACAAATTAAACCCTCAATGTATATTAACATAAACCACAACGAATACATACAAATTTCAAACCTAAACAAACATGCAGGCTTTCAATTATCAAGATCTAACTAACGCATCACGACGCATCTTTCAATATCATATCAACAACCAGTTCATCTCAACCCGAAAAGTAAAAAAAAAAAAAAAAGGATCGCCTAAGGGGCCGGCTAATAGTCACAAAACTCTATACCTTTTTTTTGCAGGTACCAACATTCCTGATGCACACTTCGGTGTTCATCTCCGGCCTCGCCTTCGCCGCCTACTTCTCGTGGCGGCTGGCCGTCGTCGCCTTCCCGACGCTCCTCCTCCTCATCATCCCCGGTCTCATCTACGGCAAGTACCTCATCTTCCTCTCACGAAAATCCACCGCCGAGTACGCCGCGGCCAACGGCGTCGTCGCGCAGGCCCTGGGATCCATCAAGACCGTCTACTCCTTCACCGCCGAGAGGCGGATCGCCGACGGCTACTCCGCCATCCTCGAGCGGACCATGAGGCTCGGGATCCGGCAAGGGATCGCGAAAGGGCTCGCCGTCGGCAGCATGGGCTTGTCTTTCGCGATATGGGCGTTCATCGCTTGGTACGGCAGCCGGCTGGTGATGTATAAAGGAGAGAGCGGCGGCCGGATCTACGCCGCCGGCATTTCCTTCATCTTGAGCGGACTGTAAGTAGCTACCAACAATTTTACTTTTTTAGGTAATGGTTGACCGTAAAGTTTGATCGTTAACGAAATGAAAAATTAGAAAGGATAAAGTGAAGAAAAAAGACACACATTTTTTTTCAACTTGATGAATAGTTTAATACCAAAATTCCACCATACTTGAATCTCCTCCACTGTGTATTCCATTAGTGTACTAACTTTACACAAATTTAGGGAATATTGTAGAGTGTTTTTTGGCACCTTTATTATCATACGGTAAACGTGTCATTATGGGGTTTTAATTAATTGATCTACGCCTAGTAGTCCTAATTTATTTTTATAAAAAAAAGTTAAGAACTAGTCCCGACTCTTAATAGGATCTCTCTCAAAAGTGTTTTGTTTTATTAATCATCTAGTGTGTATATCAGATAACTCAAAATACTCGATTTAGAAACTTAACAAATTTCGATTTTTATATAGATAATATGTCGAAGGCGAAAAAATGTATCGTATCGGTATCGCTATTAACATTAATACGGCGTCAAAACCATCTCTAGATTTTCCTTTTTGTCTCGTTCATTCATATACCCTATAATCAATCAAAACCACCTCATTACGCCTAAAAATGTATCGTATCAGTCCGCAGCTTCACTATTCGAAGACATTAAAGTACAAATTGATAAAATTGCAACACCTAATAATGCTTCACTACTCTACATTTATCTCTGAAAGGACCTGGATTTGATGTGCTATAATTCATTCGTCATCAAATTTACTTTTTTTTTAATTTTGAACTATAATTCATTTCGATCCGTTAACATAATCATCCGATACGATCCATCTCTTAATCCCATATTCAATGCTTAAATAAATTTAGCTCTTTTTTTCTTTTTGAACTTAGGTTGAATTTTCAAAGCTTTTGTTAATTATTTGGTCTTCATTTTAAACGATTCATCATTAATTTGTTGAGTGTTCCTTATTAAAAATGACCAACAAATGTGCACTCCGCAATCTCTAAGGATTGCTCCCGTACGATACTGTCGGGGAAATTGTTTCTTTACCAAAGAAAATGCAAAATGTAAATTTTTTTTATCTTTGGTGGGCCGGCCCAATTTGACTACGCAGGTCTCTGGGAATCGCGCTCCCCGATCTGAAGTACTTCACGGAAGCTTCGGTCGCCGCCGGGAGAATCTTCAGCCGGATCGACCGAGTTCCGGAGATCGACTCCGAAGGCACCAAGGGGCTCGTCCTCGACAAAATCCGCGGCGAAATTCAATTCGACCGCGTCAGCTTCACTTACCCTTCGCGCCCCGACGCCGCTGTGCTCACCGACTTCAACCTCCGCGTCGATGCGGGAAGGACCGTCGCCCTCGTCGGTGCCAGCGGGAGCGGCAAATCCACCGCGATCGCCCTGCTCCAGCGGTTCTACGATGTCACCGGCGGGGCGGTGAAGGTAGACGGCGTCGACATCAGGACGCAGAACTTGAAATGGATGAGAGGGCAGATGGGTTTGGTCAGTCAGGAGCACGCCCTTTTCGGGACGTCGATCAAGGAGAACATCATGTTCGGGAAGCTCGACGCATCGATGAACGAGGTGGTGGCCGCGGCCACGGCGGCTAATGCTCACGGTTTCATCAGGCAGCTTCCTGAGGGATACGAAACCAAGGTAAGGAAGATTTCAAAAGTGTGTGATAGAATGCCTTCAAACTGTTCGACGTATTGTGTGACTGAAAGAAATTAAAAAAAAAATTAACAGGTTGGTGAGAGAGGGGCGCTTCTCTCAGGTGGGCAGAAGCAGAGGATTGCAATTGCGAGAGCTATCATAAAGAACCCGGTGATTCTGTTGCTCGATGAAGCGACGAGCGCCCTCGATTCGGAGTCCGAAAAAGTGGTTCAAGATGCTCTGGATCAAGCCTGCATGGGAAGAACGACACTGGTTAGTGGTGACATTTTACAGTTCCTTTCCCTTCTGCGTATGGTTTCACTTTTAGAGATGAATTAAATGCAAATGTTGTTGGATAATCATGATCAGGTGGTGGCTCACAAGCTCTCTACAATCAGGAACGCAGACCTCATTGCAGTGGTTAGCAACGGTTCTGTAATCGAAACAGGCTCACACAATGACCTCATCAACACAACAAATGGCCACTATGCAAAACTCGCAAAAATGCAGAGGCAATTCAGCTGCGATGAACAGAACCCCGATACTCGTGTTTCTTCAGTCACAAGAAGCAGCGCTGGTCGGCTTAGCACAGGGAAATCAAGTCCAGCATTCTTTGCTTCGCCGTTACCAGCAATTGACAGTCCGAAACCTGTGTTGTCTCACCCACCACCTTCATTCTCTCGGCTACTCTGTTTGAATTTGCCAGAATGGAAGCAAGCCCTGATGGGAAGCCTCTCGGCGGTAGCCTTTGGAGGCGTTCAGCCTTTCTACGCCTTGACAGTTGGTGGAATGATTTCGGCTTTCTTTGCACCAAGCCATGAGGAAGTGAATGCTAGAATTCGAACGTACTCCTTGATATTTTGTTCACTTTCTCTAGTTTCCATCATCCTGAACCTTGTGCAGCACTACAATTTTGCGTATATGGGAGAGAGGCTTACAAAGAGAATCCGGCTGAGGATGTTAGAAAAGATCCTGACTTTTGAGGCTGCTTGGTTCGATGAAGAGCAGAACTCAAGTGGAGCATTATGTTCTCGACTAAGCAACGAGGCCTCCATTGTTAAATCCCTAGTTGCAGATAGAGTCTCTCTCCTAGTACAAACCACTTCAGCTGTCACCATTGCCATGATCATGGGACTAGTGGTGGCTTGGAAGCTTGCACTCGTGATGATTGCGGTCCAGCCACTCACAATTCTATGTTTCTACACCCGCAAAGTTCTTCTCTCCACCATCTCGACAAAGTTCGTCAAGGCTCAGAATCAAAGCACCCAAATTGCTGTGGAAGCAGTTTATAATCACAGAATTGTTACCTCATTTGGAAGTGTGGGGAAGGTGCTCGAACTTTTTGATCAAGCTCAGGAGGAGCCGAGGAGGGAGGCAAGGAAGAAATCATGGATGGCTGGATTCGGAATGGGTTCAGCTCAGTGTCTAACTTTCATGTCCTGGGCTCTTGACTTCTGGTATGGAGGGACGCTGGTGGAGAAGGGAGAGATATCAGCAGGAGCTGTGTTCAAAACGTTCTTCATCCTTGTAAGTACTGGAAAAGTCATAGCCGAAGCTGGAAGCATGACCTCTGATCTAGCCAAGGGTTCAGCAGCTGTCGCTTCAGTGTTCAAGATACTGGATAGGCAATCCTTGATTCGCAATGAGAGCGACGGAACCAAGCTGGAAAAGATCACGGGAAAAATAGAGATGAAGAGGGTTGATTTTGCATATCCAGGAAGGCCAGAGATATTGGTGCTTAACCAATTCAGCCTGGAAGTAAAGCCTAGCACTAGCATTGGTCTAGTAGGGAAGAGTGGATGTGGGAAATCGACTGTGATTGGATTGATCCAAAGGTTCTATGATGTCGAGAAAGGGTCAGTAAAGGTCGATGGAGTTGACATTAGAGTCCTGGACATCCAATGGTACAGGAGGCACACCGCCCTTGTGAGCCAAGAACCAGTGATCTACTCGGGCAGTATTCGAGATAACATAGTGTTTGGTAAGCCTGATGCATCCGAGAATGAGGTGGTGGAGGCTGCAAGAGCTGCCAATGCTCACGAATTCATCTCGTAAGCTTCTCCGTATCTTTGCAGTTAGTCCTATGCTGTTAGTAAATTCTGCTGCCAATACTCTTTGCATTCGTTACGTTATTTTGTCTTTTTGAATGATAGATTCGCAGCCTAGTTGATTCGGTTATCACCATGATAATCATTTGAACATACTTAACCATGAACATTTTCCCCTCAACCACTGCAGGTCGTTGAAAGAAGGCTACGAGACCGAATGTGGCGAGAGAGGGGTGCAACTGTCTGGAGGCCAAAAGCAGAGAATAGCAATTGCAAGGGCCATAATTCGCAACCCCACAATCCTACTTCTCGACGAGGCAACGAGCGCTCTTGATGTGCAATCGGAGCAAGTGGTGCAAGAAGCACTGGACAGGATCATGGTGGGAAGAACAACAATTGTGGTGGCTCATAGGCTGAACACGATCAAGAACCTGGATTCGATTGCCTTTGTTGCTGATGGGAAAGTGGTGGAGCGCGGAACCTATGCTCAGTTAAAGAACAAGAAAGGTGCTTTCTTTAACCTCGCCAGCCTCCAAAACTAGGTCTAGTAGACATTTATTTGGATATTTAGGTGTGCGTATGTGTGTTCATAGGAAACGGCTGATAACAATGAATCAACGTGAGAGAATGTATCTATCTATATAGTAGGTAGCTTTTATTTTGACACCAAAGTCTGCAGCTCCATAACTAAGCTGCTGCTATCTGATTTTCATGGTCTCTGGGCGTTGAAAAATCGCTCTTAGTCCATTTCATTCGCAGTGTAATGAACATAAGTGTGCTAGTTTGGCAGGTAAGACCGCAGATCAAACCTATCCACAATCCCTGTAACAAAAACAAAAGGTTCAGAACCAGATCATGTAGCAGTATAAAGTTTCTAGTGTTGAGCTCATAATTGTTTTACCTTCACATATAACTTCAACTTGAACCCAAGAACACAGGCAATAGGCATGCCGATGAAGTAGAACGTCGCTAAGTTAGCAACCACCGCCATATTCTGCCATCCGCATCCTCTAGCCACTCCTGATAAAACGCCTTGCACTGAATCAAGCGTTATGGAGATGGCAAGCAATGGCACCATGGATGAAAACCTCACAGCTATCTCACTGCTGTCGCTGAAGAAGCCAGCCCAGATGTTTTGGCCAAGCCCTAGAGCCAAAACGACCACCAGGGCCAGCAGCACGGAGAGCTTGAGAGTCATTGCCATGGCATTCTTAGCGCGACTCGTGTTACCAGCCCCCAACTCATTAGACACCCTCGTGCTGCCACCCACAGTGAGATAATAAACACATGTATCGACTCCTAGAACGACGAAGAAGGAACAACGACAATCGTGATAGTAAATAGAGCATGGTGACAGAAATGCTGCTAACCTTGCTGCTGCACTAAGACCGTATGTCAGCATATAGGCAATGGTTTCTGTGTTTACGCTGAACAGACAAACACCAAACATTCAAACTTCTGAAGATGATGAGTTGGACATTATCAGAGATTCAAGAGAAACGGAAGCAACCATTACCACATAGCAAGCAAAGATGTTGATATTTCAGAATCCGGCATCACCCCGGCTAAGAAAATCAGAATCTCAAAAGCCCAATACTCCAAGCTGCAGAAGAAGAAGAAAAAAACCACCATGGAATCAAACATTTCTTGCCTATATGCAGAAGATAGCTTGCTGACATTCTACAACCCTGAACTTACCATACCATTGCAGCAGAAGGAAGAGCCAGTTTGAGTGCTACCACAACATAATCGAACGATTCCGACGAACACCCACTCCAAGTCTGCTCAAATCTCTTCCCAAACCCTACATACAAAGCCAAGGCAACGAAACTAACCCACAAGGAAATTGCAGCTGCCAATGGAGCCCCAATGAAACCAAGCGGAGTTAAGTAAACCAGAGCATAAGCAAGCCCTATATGAATGCAGGCAGGCAACATCGAGAACAGGACAAGAGGCATAACAACAGACTGCGTCTGAAGGAACCTTAGAATGTTCTGCAGAAACCCATATGCAAACACTCCTGGGATGAGGTACTTTATGTACAGAGCAGCCATGGATGAAATTTGGGGGTCTTGCCCTAAAAGGATCAAAATCGGCTCCGTGTAGAACCAGATCACAGAAATGCCCACGGAGAAGAGGAAAGATATGATGCAGGAAGCTTGGAGATGGATCCCCAGCTTTCTGTACAGCTTCGATCCAAAATCTTGACCGCAGAGTGTTTCCAAAGCTCCACTCAACCCTGTCTACAATCGGGAAAAAACAGAGCAAGCTTCAACAGACAAAACCCTACCCGATTTGGCAAAATTGGTGGGGGGAAAAGGAGAGAATTGGTTTTGTACCATGAAAGCGAAACCGGTGACGGTGGCCCAGGAGTTGGCAAGGGTGGCGCCGGCGAGGTGGAGCTCGCCGAGATGGCCGGCGAACATGACGGAGACTAGAGGGATGAGGTAGAAGAAGACGTTGGTGAGAATCATGGGCAGTGAAAACAAGATCTGGGTCTTGGCTTCTTCAATGTCCAGCACATCGCTGATGCTAATCGGCCACCATCCGCTCCTCTGATCGGCTTCCCGTCGGCGGCCATCTAAGAGGGGATTCGTCTCGTCGGAGCTTGTGGTCGCCGCCATGAATGTCGTCGGGTTCTGTGGAGCTCTGGAAGCAGAGGAAAAGAGTCGAACTTTGAGCAGGCGGGATCAGAGTAAAGGTGAGATATGGGTTCTTGCCCGGTCTCTGTATCGATCACTATCTTCATCGCCATCATTTCTCTTCCCCCAAGGGGCAAGAATCAAGATGGCGATGGATTATTAGTTAGATATAACTAGGGAAGGTGGGCGGACCGCGGAAATGGCGGGTAATTATCCAAACTGGTCATAGTTTAACTTCGGTCGTTTTGTTTGACTTTGAGAATATGTAACAAAAATGATCCTTTCATCATTATCATTAAAAATTCTATCCATTTTTCAATCCATTGAATTAACAGAAGGTACATGAAAGTCCAGCTAGGCACTCCGAACCGATTTATCAGACTCGTAGACGTTTGATCATACTCAGACATGTAACAGTAACCATAGGTGGATTGATTCGGGTGTGAGTTTTCTTTTCGGGTCGGGTATGATTCACATAGGGCTTAGGTGGATTGATTCGGGTGTTTCGATGGACTTTAATTTTTGTAATTTTCTTATGACAAATGGCTAACGATGAAAAATATGTGAAATTTCAGGAAAAAAAACTAGCAAATGGAGAGAACCGGGCGAAAGAAATGATCTTCAAAGTTACCGAGCATATCATTGATAATGATGTAGTCGATAGATACGAATCTTATTAGCATGATGAATCTTTACCAATGCAATCACCAAAAATAGCTACTCGTGACATAAAAAGTGGGTACGAAACAACTTATCAGTCACTACTAACGAACCCCACAATCCCCACCAATGGATGTGCATATCACTACGAATGAGTAGTAATAAATCACTACTAACAATAAGTTTATTATTAGTTTCCCTCATCATTAAAAATGATGATAGTGAAATCAGTGGCATGCCGACCAATACATTCATGTTCAATCATCATGGATGTCAAACCATATGAAAGACCCCTGTATGAAGTGTCAATCAAAATCGGTCAAAACCGAGAATACCGATGACCCAAGCGGAATGCGATAATCTTCAAGAAGGAATTCTAGTAAATAAACTGTATTAATAGGTGAATGCATGACCGTTTTAAAGTTTTAGCAACAAACAAACTACAGTTAACAACCTGACAAGACTCTGACAAACTGATTAACTGCTGAACTAAACTCCATTGAACCCAAAAACAACAACAACAACACTACTTCTGGTCGAACCACCAACATCGATCTTATCCTAATTAGCAACTAATCCGAACTTCTGGATTAGTTGTTGGCTGATGATGTGTTGTTGGGAGATGGCGGCTGAGCCCTCGAGCTCGCCTCTGCCTCTGCCTGCTCAGCAGCCTCAGCTTCTCGCAGCAGCTGGAAGTAGGGTTCCAATTTGGTCTTGAGGTCATGGATCTCGGTCTTCACCTCCTCCAAGGCTGCCTTTGCTCTGTTTAAAGAATTTGGGGGTCAAATTGTAAGAAGGTAAAACTATGCATGCATAAGTGTACTTTTCCGAAGGCAAAATGTCAACTAAAGAGTAAAGATAGGTAAGTTGTTTGGTTTTTTGTCATAATCACCTGAGCCAGTCCCTGTCTTTCCACGAGTTCCAGACATCACCAGCCTTTGCTCTGATCTTTGCTGCACCAATACTGAAAAACAATGCATGGTAATTAGGGATGTCCATTCTCTTTCGTTCTTTCGGTTTACATTGAAACCAAACCGATAAGAAGGTTAACGGTTTCTGTTTTTCGGTGTCAAGTCGTTTCGTAATTTACATGTTTTGATTTGGGTTTAAACCTTAAAATCGAGAAGAAATTGAAAAATAAAAATCGTATAGTAGCCATTTTTTTGTCTTTTTAAGGTCGAACCAAAACGGATAACCTCTTATTGGTTTTGGTTTTTGGGACTAACTGTTTTGGATTATGATATTTCTTGCGTAACGGTTTGATTACCAAACCGAACTGGAAGCCTTAATGCTAACCGAAGAATTTAGGGGATGATATGCTAAGTTTCTAAGCGTAAAACTTAGGTGATCAAATTAAACAACATATTAATTTAATAGGAAAAAAAAATTAAAATTGATCACTTACGTGGCCCCTCCTGACCTCAACTTGATAATCTTTACATCCACTGAGTTCATATCAACAGACTCCTCTCTGCAATTAACACCCAGTTTCATAAAAACATTAGGCGATAGATCAGCATGTAAAGTGGATTCAACCATTTACGGTCGAATCCACTCATCATCACTTTATCATCGGACAACACCATCGTAAAATTGACATGAAATTCGATTTGAACGAGACGAATTTTAGGATTAAAAGTCATACTACTAGCTTGTTAGTGATTACCCATTTTGAATAACAGCATCCATTGCCTCCTCGATGTCAGCAATTTTGGGTTCAGAGTGAGTGATGAAAGTGGTCACCATTTCCTCGACAAAGTCAGGAGGAGCAAACCCTTTTAGGTCCTCCATTTGCACAAAAAAGCTGTCCAGAAGTCCCTGCATTCATACACGAGGCAAAGGCGACCAAAATGTCGTCACTATAAGTCGTGAGCATGAGGGGGAAAATATGTGCAAACCAATATATGAACATTAATGAACTAGACAAGGAATTTAAGGAAAAAGAAGGAGTATTGACCTCATCAAAGAAAGATTGCCTCATGGTGGCAATCCTATGCTGCAATGAAGAAGAGTTGGTGGTGGTGGTTGTGGCCTTTGCGATCTCCATTGTTGGAAGAACAAGTGATGGAGAACTTTGGAGGTTTGCTTGGGTGAGTCTATAACTTCGATGGACGGAGAATATATAGCGAAAGGAAACTTGAGAAATTGTTCATCATGGTTGAACGTGTATAGATATTCATTAACTTGTTTTAGAAACTAGATTCGCAAAATCTAATAAAAAGATCTATCAGCTGCACTTTGGATTGTTGTGTAATATTACAGTTAGATTGACTGTCCTCCTAATTAGGATCGTGTGGACTACTAATGGATGATATATAATGAAATTATCGGTTTAGGAGATAACATAACATGTCAAAAGTTGGATTCGCGAGGATGATGATTTAGAATAAAAGGTAGCAAATCTTTCGTCCTTCTATTATATTTTTTTAAATTAAGTCTTAGTGAGTTTTAGATTTCTAGCCATTTTCGCTCGATATTAGCTATGGCAACAATATCTCATGGACTGTAATTATCAATTTTTTGTGATACTATTCAGTCATAGCATATTTACAACTTTTCGTACGCTTTTATTTCCGGTAACAAATTTCACTCTCAAAATTGTAAAAAAAATCAATAAAATGTTGATCTTTCCATCACAAAAGATGATTCGCAACGAAACAATAGCAAAAACTTTAGGATTTGTTTAACGGTAAGAGGATGATAACTCTTTTTATTTCGATCAGTGTTATTAAAGTCGAGCAGAGCTGCTCGGCCTGACCGGTTAAATCGCCACCCGGTCAAAAAACCGGCTCGGAACAGTCTAAAAGTCGCTCCGGTTTTATATAGCGGTTGGCGAGCGGCCGAGGCGGTAAACTGCTCGAGCCGATCGTTCGGTTTTTGTCATTCAGCCGTTAAATTTAATTAAAAAAATTGCAGAAAATTGAAAAGTGAAATAAACCAAAAACGTCGGGCTCTCAAACTGAATCCTTTATTTCCATTTCACAATTTCGAAGAAAAGAGATGAGCTCTGATTAAGAAATGTCCTCTATTTATACTGATAACGTTTATTAGGTACCGGTTCTCTAACGATTTTTAAACGGTCTAATGTCGATTGGACCACTAAAATGCGAACTGTTCGCATTAACGAGTCATGCTCCGGTTCGGTTCTGACAACATTGATTTCGATCGACCGATGATGGGCACTACGGCCACAATCCAACTCTACTAGGAGAGGAGGTAGTCCACAATTGGGTGTCATCCCATGAGGAATGAATGAGCAATACAATTAGCTACTCTATTAGATTATCATTGCTCACAAATCATCGATTATTTTCAACACTCTGGTAGATGGATTTAGTGTTTCCTCATCAATGAGAGATTGATCAAAGGTGAAATTTTGGTACCCAAGTTGCCAATTATGTATGGAACTAAATCCGGGAAAGGTTAGGTATTGCTGAAATACAAACAAAATTGGTTTGTACTAATTGAGCCCATTTTGATCCTTTTTGTGGATAGCGTTTAGGATACTTATTTGACATGAATGAATAAATCATGTGGTTGAAAATTTGGACACTCAACGATAGGGGTTGCGAGTTCAGTTGTTCAAAAGTGGTTCGACATTTGGTTCAGGAAGATCTTGTTCGAAACACACCTCTTTTTCTAACGAGTTGAGATTGAGATAAGCCATGCTCAGCTTGTGGGCTCGCAAGTCAACTCGCTTTGACGGCCTGTTGAGCTCAACTCACAAGCTGGCTTGTTTTGAGCTCATGAGAGATCTCAATATTGTGGTTTGTGAGCCAACTTGATAACCGGCTTATTAGCGAATCAATATATGTTTTATGAGTTGGCTTAATGATAATTCATAATTTTGTTAAATTATATATCACACCCCATATAATGTTTAAGACTCTAGGTATATGAGTTACATATATGACAAGAAACCCTGACATCGCTCTTCACCCTCCTCCTCTTCTGACATGTACAAGATATCTAAGTAGTTAGTAGAATTTAGTTATCATCCTGTAATTTTCAATAACCAGAATTGTTGATAGTATTAATACGCTCTGGTTAGTAATCGTTAGGGATAGTCTGTAAACCAAATGTTAGAACGATGCCGACATCGAATTTGTCCTATTTATGCACACATTTACATTACATTCAATTTGCATGCCTCCTCCTCCAAATCAAGTACTTAGTCGAGAGATTCACAACCTCTTGCCATAAATCTCGATCAAGCTAGTAATTAGCTTGGCCCTCTTTGCCAAAGAGAATACCATCTTCCTTCTTCATTTCATGTCATAACACATGAAAAGGGAACAATGGTATATATATGTACTATATACGGCTGACTAGCTATTACTCTGTCTTCCACAAATTTCTTGGAAGCTTGATTAATCTTCCACCCAATTAACAAATTTTTGAAAGAAATTAAAAAAAAGAAGATTACCAATTAGAGTGATAGGAACGGTGATTAATGATGTATTCATGGCGGCGGCTCGGGCGCCCTTGCAGGCACCGCCCGCCGTCTCTTGGGTTTGAGATCGACCACAACGATGGAGATGTTGTCGGAGCTATTCCTGCCGTACGCCATCTCGGTGAGGCTGTCAGCCACCGCTTGCGCCGCCGTGATGTTACTGTTGCTGGACGACGCCGGCGCTCGGCGCCACCTTCTTAGCACTCTCCGGGCCACCTCCCCGACCTCGTCGTTCGTCATGACATCCCACAGCCCGTCGCTTGCCGCGATCAAGCACTCGTCATCCTCCCTCCTTGCCGTGAATGTGATCTCCGGCACCGGAATTACATACGGCCTCAGGTGCCGGTCGCCTGAAGATAAACAGCACACACATGAATCAAGTTTTCGGCTGGTTTGAACTCGACTCATTAATAAACAAGTCAAGTTCATCTTATCAATTAGCTTGCAAGATTCGCTCGAACTCAAGTATCATATAATTTAGTCAATAATTTTAACTGTTCATATTAAAATTACATAATTTGTTTTAAATTATTATAAATGAGACATATTTATTATATAACCTAAGAAAACCTATAAATTATCAACAAGCAAATTATTAATCAATTCGCTCATCAGTTAAGATAATTAGGTGGCTCGCTAGCCACACTGTAAAGCGAGCTCATAGTTTAAAACGAGCTTACTCGTGAATTGAGTTCAACAAATCATCGAGTTGAGTTGGCTTACGAGCAGAACAAAAAGCGTAGCTCAAACTTGACTCTTTAGTAAAGGAATCAAGTGTCAAACGAGATTTTCCCCATCCAAATATCGAGCCGATCATGAATAAGTTTAGCTGGCTCGCATTTGTACCCCTAGTGCAATAGCAACAGAAAGGATTTAAAGAGAAAAGAAACGAACCTATGGCTCTGGACATGGCAAGGACTCCAAGCACTCGAGCACCATTCCAGTTAAACACCTTCCCTCCTGCATCTTCAATCCTCTTCAGTTCATCTTCTCTGTCCGGCTGCCAAAATCCATCAACAAAAGGGGGAAAAAAAGAGCCCCAATCAAACCAAAAGAAATAACTTGGTATATCCATCAATTGGAACATAAGAAAAGAAGAAAAAATTAACCCGGCCAGACCAAACGGACCTTCTGATCAACGCTCAATGGGATAGCTTGCGTCCCACGGCAGAGCAATGCACGGGAATCCCCACAGTTGGACGTAATAATCTGGCAACAGGAGAGCACCACAACCAAAGCCGTCGACCCGACGATCTCCGGTGCCACCGCTTCAGCCAGGATCTCGTCGTCGGCCTTCCCGAACCCGCCGGTGAACGTAGCTTCCCACCTTCTCCGCCACTGATCATCGGCCTCCCCATACCCACCGCCGCCGGCGCCGGCCACTAGTACTGTTTTCTCCGCCGTTTCCCGATCCCAGTACTCCTCTGCTATCACATGATGCATCCTCTCCTTGCAGAAATCCGCCACCTGTCATAAAGCTTTTCTCATTAGATTCCTACACTTTTTTTTCCCTCGTGATTACTGTTTTTTTTAAACAGTGGAATCTAAAGGAAGGAAGGAAAGGCCGAACTGTATTCTATTCATGCACAGAGCCTTCTATCCAACCAACTCTCCACCTACCGCTACTGCACCTTAGACCTTCCATGGAAGGTGACATCTTAACGTAATTAACCTTGCGATTACAACGATTCGACCGTAAAAACTGTATTAATAGAGTCTAAACTTATAGGTGATTTCTGCCGTATGAAACGATTGAACTATAATTAAATCACGATTCATCATAAAATACGTTTACCCCCGGAACTTTTGTCGATAAAACCTCCAATATCGTTTTACAATCCTTCACACTAATTAGGAAAGAAGAAAGTTGAGGACACCTTCCTTCCATTCCATTCCCAACAAACCCACCACACGTGGCGCACAGTGACCTTACCATTCTCGGTCCCACTCCTGTTCCTTTTTCGTTTTTTCTTCATTTTTCTCATTCTCACAACAATTTCTCAGTAGACGCTATATAAAAATAGTAAAATACAACAGAATGTAAATAAAATAATACACTATTATATTCATCGGAAGTGGAACGCCGGCCAATTGACGGCGGAAAGACCTAAAAGCCAAACTCTAGCCGGCCACCGAGTCTCCTCCGTCCACAACCGAGAGTTAAAAAGTAAACGGAAAGATCCAAGATTAAACGGAAGGGATGATGACGTGGGCGCTGTGACGATAACGGGAGATGCCGGTGACGTTATCCCCGATTCAGCACAATTACAAAAGAAACCCTCCAAGAAAAGGCAGAACAAGATTGCACGGAACCCAGGGACACGTGTCCTGGGAACTGTGGGAAAAGAAGCCCCCGCTATAAATAATAAATATTAAAATCCCCGAGATTTATGCACCACTCTTACGCATACGCGTGTCTTCTCTTTGTCTGAAACTTTCCTTTTCAAAATTAACATTTGTAGCCACCAAATTGGCAAAATCTACTAAAAATTTATTCAATTTTATACAGTATTTTTATAAGGATTATTATACTGTATTTTACAGTTGATCAGACCATAAATTTTCTTATTATTATCTAGCAAATAATCGATCTATTTCATTAGATTTAGTTATTTATGCACGTTTACTTTATAATCAGAAGACCAATAAAATAGTTTTCTCAAAAAACAAAAAATCAATTGCGACTTTAATTTGGGAAAAAACAATACTAATTAGTTGGGAGAAATCCGGAAAAGATTTTGCAGGCAAAGAGGGGGAATTATTAAACACCTAATTAAATTGACTAAAAAAAAAATACGAAGCGTACTGTATTGTATGAAGTATTTTTTGAGTAGAGTCTAGTGCCCGTCTGGTAGGCAGCTAACCTGAGCGCCGCCGTGGCCGTCGTAAACGCCGAAGAAATGGACGGGAGAGACCTCGCCGGAGGTTATGGAGCCGGGAGCGGCGCACCCGCCGATGCGGCTGCAGGTACGGGAGATGAACCCGGGGACAATGGCGACGGCGTCCTCCATCTCGCGCCGCCTCCCGATCACGGAAGTGGATCCCCAGCTCACCGCTCTGTTGTTCTTCCGGCCGACGCACTTCTCCCTCGCCGCCGCCGAAACCTCCATCGTCGTCGCCGCCGCCGCGGCGAATTCGATCTCGGAGAGGGGAATCTCGCCGGAGCTCCCGATGTCGAAGGAGCTGGCGCTGCCGCTGCGGGAGGAATCTTCCGTCCAGAGAGCGGATAGCGCGCTCGACGAGCTCGCGGAGGAGGCCAGATCGGAGAGCGAGTCGTCTCGGTCGAGTTGCTGGTCTTTTTCCTCGTCCGCCGAGTCCATGGATCGGGGAATCGGAAGGGAGAGAGAGAGATGAGGGGGAATTAAGAGAGAAGGGGGGGAAAAGGAGATGAGAGAGAGAGAGAAGGGAGCGGAGGGATAAAAGGGAGGCGGTAGCCAACGACAGAGTGACACGTGTAGTGGGGGGTAAAGTGTGATTATTCAAGCACTTTGGGGGGAGAAAATCAGAAAGAGGAAGGGGGAATGGCCGCGCGCTGCCGCCACGTCGCCGTCGGGGGAGGCGATCTGGCGGTTCCACGGTGGTGGACTTGGAGAGGAAGACAGACGAGCTTTTTTTTTTTTTTTTTTTTTTGGGAGAATTGAAGTATGGAAAGGGAAAATGGAAAAGAGCTCCTCTGCGGCAGCGGCCCACGGAGAAAGTCTCTGCGCTCTCAAATGGAACGCATGACGTGGCTGACAATGATGTGGACAGCAGCTCGAGCATTTTCCCCAAATGATTTTCGGAATAATTTAGATTTTCCATTAAAAAGAAAAACTTAAAGCAAGGTTGACATGGTTAAGCCTGGGGTTGATTGGTGTCACATGGTTTGAAATTTATTGGTCGGATCAGGAATCGGTTTAAAACGTTTTGCTACATAATATATAATTTTATATGCATATAAATGATAATAATTTAAGATTTGAATAACCATAATGTAATCCGATAGGTTTTGTATAATAATTTAACAAATAATATATTATCTTACTTTAAAAGCTACATACATATATTTGCTTTGTTTTTCATAATACGGTTTGGGAGAGGACCCCAAACCTTGTATCAAGATTATCGTATTGGAGGTCACACGATGTCATTTTTCTCTATGGTTTACGAATTGTACTCGTTTACAGTATTTTCCTTCGCCTAATCCTGCTTTGGGAATTTTTAAGATATTAGTGTGCTTGAATTTTCATTATATCTGTTGGATTCGAGTACGAACCGTAATTCTGGTGTAATGATATATGGTATCATATTTATACAGGATTCGTCGATCTAATAAATAAATACATGAACAATGACTTTTTTCCATATATCCAGACTGAACCGGTGTAAAGCGATCGGACTATTAACTCTCAACCCACTTTACTCGACCAAACCAATGGGCTAAATTGGGTTGACAACCTTGCTGCTTGAATCCATTAATACCGGTAGACCAAACCAAACCAAACCAAACTGACAAGTGACAACCCTACACCTGTCCCTAGACCCATTACGTGGCACTTAGCAAAAGGATTGTGATTTGTGGTCCCACATCCTATTTGTAAAAAGATCTGACCCCTCCCTTTTTCCGTATTATTATTATTATCATTATTATTTACTTCATTTCGATGGGATCGCACGCCACGTACACACAGCAGAATCATGAACCAGGAATTCGGCCGTCGACAACAAGAGAAAAGCAAACAAACTGTGTGCAAAGTTGATATGGGCCGGAAAAAGGTCGACCAGAGCAGTGTTTGACCGGGCTGGCCCAAACGTGGTTTCAATTATATTTCGAGGTCGACGACCGGAATCGGCCACGTCTTTGCTCGCCGTTTTGGGGAATAGACGGTGGTGCACGGAAAGTGGTTGTTTTTTCCCTTCTTCTTTTCGCCGGTGGTGGTGGGCCGATTCAGATCAAAAGAGGGAAAAAGTATAATAACAGTAGTAGTAATATAATAATAAAGAAATAATGGAGGATTGGAAGGAAGAAAGAAATGGTGTGGGGACCTTGGAATCAAACCTATTACAAACGTACGTGTCGATACATAGAGAAAGAAATGGTGTAATGTGGATTGCTTAATTGACGATGTGACAATTATAATTAGTAAAGAAGAAATCTGTGTCTTTGCTATTTTAACATTATATATGTTTATTGTTAATTGTCGATTATCACAATTCACAAACGATGCGGATATGACGTTGACATCATCACTGTAGTAGAGCCAATTAAGTTGGAAGACATAAGTAGCGATTCTTTCTCGTTTTTCAGACGATCAACAGGGATGACTCGGATCAGACGTAACTCTAGCGTTAGTGGCGGAAGGGAGTGTTGAGGAAAGAGGTTTGGAAGAGGAAAAAAGGATCGTGACACAAAATCCTTTAGATACATAGGATTTAGTACAGTCCTTCAAGTTTAAAACCACGTAATCTCGTCGAACGTTAGCTCACCTAAGAATCACAATCAACTCAAAGTTCATTAGATACGCAAACTTTAGTATCAGTAAATTTTTACGAACTCCAATAAACTCAAAGTCTGGCTACGCAGAGTTGGGTAAAAAAAAAAGCAAAATGTAAATAGTATCATATTGAGAGGGGCTCTTTTTGTTTATTAATAATACGATAATATTTTGATGTGTTTTTATGAGAAGAGAAATAAGGGCAGTCGTCGCGTCGAAGAAGAAAGTGACATGTGCCGGTGTAATGGAAGCCAACACATAGAACTTGTGGATCAATGGGAGGGCGACGCCTATATGTCCTCTGCGTGCTGTCTGTCTCTCTCTCATTGTAGTTTGGTGCAAGCCATTTTCATGAAGGACGAAAATGGGTGTGCAGGTTAGTGAGTGCGGCACGACTAGCCACCACCATACATTTCCTTCAAATGGCATTTTAGAATTTTTCTTTGTCAAGAGGTATGGATTTTGTTGGACACGGTACTTTTCGTAGGTTTGATGGATGTGAATTCAATTAGGAATGACAATTTTGGTCTGATCCGATTTACGTGACTTGTTTGATCTGTTTTGGGGTGGGTCAAATCCGTTTCATAGGCGGAGCGGGGTGGCCATGTGTACCTCCATCGACATGACCTGCCCCCATTATCGACCTGTTCTTGCCTAAATTACATATAATCTTGGTCAAATTGCTTAAGATTTTCCTCTTATTACATTATATTTTAGTTATAATAAAGTTGTAAATAAGAGAAAATCTCAATTTCTTCAATAACTTAACTACATTTTATCATATTATGGTTTCTTTCTTGGTATTTCAATGAAAAAAACGAATATTTCTAATGTTCTTCACATAAATTACATACCCATTGGGTTGACCTGCCCCGTGATAAATTACCGGACCTACCATGGGGCGGATATGGGTATCGAGATATCCGCCCGAACCTGCCCATTGCCATTACTAGAATCAATCATCAATTGTATGGGTATCTAAATATTGGGGGTTATGTTATACAAAATCTAACAATGTAAGCACCATAATCAATTTAGAGGTATATGTAGAGGTGACAAATTGATTTGATTTATGAATTATTGGATTGATTGATTTATGAATTAGTGGATTAAATGGATTTGATTGGTGAGTTCGTGGATTGATTTCATAAATTCAAATAACATCTAAATAGTGGACCATTTTAAACTTTTTGCAAAGTTTAAGGATGGAACCATTAAAAGCAAAATTAACAAAATTACCAAGGTATGGAGGAGCGAGTCCAGCCCAACTAGATTTCAGGCCGAGACTGGACCCATAGGCCTAAATGGCGGTAGTTGGACCCTATCTTAGTCTTTACAAAAACCAGCCAGATATTGTAAGCCGTGAGACAGAAAGTTTTTAAGCCCAAACCGAACTACACTACTGTTTTCGGAAGTGTTATTAAAGCTGAGCCGAGCCACTCGGTCCGACCGGTAAAACCGCAACCCGGTAACAAACCCGGCTTGGAACTGTCTAAAAGCCGCTCAGGTTTTATGTAGCGGTTGACGAGCGGCCGAGGCGGTTAACCACTCGAGTCGATCAAGCTGCTCGTCCGGTTTTTGCCATTCATCAATTAAATTTAATTAAAAAATTGCAGAAAATTGAAAATTGAAATAAACAAAAAACGTCGGGTTCTCAAACTGAATCCTTTTTTCCATTTCACAATTTCGAAGAGAAGAGACGAGGTTTGATTAAGAAATGTCCACTATTTATACTGATAGCGTTTATTAGATACCGGTTCTCTAACGTTTTAAAACGATATAATGCCAGTTGGACCACTAAAGTGCGAGTCGTTCGCGTTACCGGGTCATGCTCCGGTTCGGTTCTGACGACATTGTTTTCGGGCATCAGTTGGTCCGACGCCCAGGTATAAAACAGATTTTATACTTATACACTTCTCTTTTTTTTTTTATGGTTATATACACCTCTCTTTCTCGGCAAGAGAATTCGTTGTTTTAGACATGATGTGTAACACTTTTTCTTTCAGAAGATGAAAACTCGTAATGGTTGTTTATGAGAATACCGATTGAATTAGTCGTTAATTTTTATATATTATTAATTTAATTATATTTATTAAATATTTACATATTTATAATACGAAAAGAGGATAAAATTAGTTTCAAATCCTGCCTCCGCCACTGATTTGGAGTTTAACGATTGACCAGTAACAACCTCCATACTTGACGTTTTTCTTTTGTTATTTTAAGTTTTATTTGTTGTGTCTTTTAACAATATAGTACAATCATACACATGACTCAAAATAATTTAACTAGACTTGTATATATATTGTTAACATAAAATAATAATTATAAGAAATAACATCAATATAATAGGATATCCGTTGTGAATTCATAACTCAAATTCAAACACATGTAATTAAAAATAATCAAACATATTCATCCAATTAGCAAGTATCAACCAACAAGACATCAGCCACAAGATCACCATCATTCACAAACATGAATTTTAGAACGGATAGGGAAATATTGCAAGAAAGTAATAAAAAAATACACAAATTTACATGGTCACTAACAAGATGTGCACTAGCTATATATGTCAACGGGTAGGAGAGAGCAGTTTTACTATATTGATTTAAGGAAATACATATTACAGAGATTGAGAAGGTATATATAGTACCTTCTCCATACGGTCTAACCTAATCCAACAATGGAAAGAAAAGGTCATAGACCATACCCAAAACAGACATACAAATGTTTATAAGCCCATACACCGTGGCGAGACCTCGTGACTTTCACTCAACAGCAGATAACCTATTTCCAAATCATAGACCGCTAGTGTGCGAGGTTCGCTTTGTCGACTACAAAGGGGAATTAAATAGGGATGACTTTAATTAGGGTCCTAACTTTTGACACATTGGGTGGAGAGTTGTTTGAAATAGGTGGTAATTAACTGTGATAGTTGGAATTATGATTTCAGTTGGTTTTGAATCTCGAGACTTTTTTCTTAGCCAAATCCCAATAAACGTGGTTATACCAATGGGCACTTCATTGATTAACCACTTAACAAAATCAATTAACCGAAAATCGAACCACTAAAAAATTATATCGGTTAAGTAACTAGGCATATCTTCACCTCTTGACCCCAAGCTAGTGATGATCTTGTAGCTACGCACCATCGCAGCATCGCTGACTTTGCACCCGTCTCCATTAACGATCTCCATCTTGTCCATCCCTATAATTTATTTTCTGGACACATAACAACACAAGCAAGTTGACATGCCGGTGGGCCAATCATCAATCTGTTCTTTCTTTCTTTCATTTTCGGCTAAATTGCAAGTTTGGTCACTTGAATTACTAGTAAATTTCATGTTAGCCACTAGAATTACTTTATTCCATTCGTAGTCACTTAAATTAGGTTAACAGTCCAAGTTTGGTCACTGGCCGTTAGTCTCCGTTAACTTTTGCTGATGTGGCGGTCAACTCTAATAGTTGACCGTTAAATGAGTGACGTGGCAATTAAAAAATTAATAAAAAAATAAATTTTATAATTTTCTAATTTCCAACTCATTTTTACACCCATTTGACAAAAAAAAAAAATTCCAATCAACTTGACACACACCACTTCTTCCATCACCCATTTGAAATGCACGAATAGAGCCAACCAGATGATTGCTGACGAGCTCATCAAGAAGTTTGGGTTTCTCATCTCTCCTTCCCCTGCTCCAGATTCTACTCCTTCCCCTGACTCATCTTAAGCATCCAAACCTTCCCCTGCGCCTCATTCTTTGTCACTACCGCTCTCCCAGTTCATGTAAACTTGTTTTGCACGGCGGTTTCGCTGAGTTCCGGCGGTGATGGGAAGGATGAGGAGGATCTGTTTTCCGACCTACCGGAGGAGAATGTGAGCAGCAGTTTTGACGGTGGTGGTCCAGGTGGTGGTGATGGCGAGGAGGATGAGGACGAGGACAGTGATTACGACTGCTCTGAGGAAAGCTCTCACGGTAGGTTTAATTTCTGTTTCACTTTTTTTTTTCCCTCTAGCTTGGTTCCATAGTATGAGAGAATTGAATGAATTTGAGTCACGATATCGAATTGGAATTGGCCGCAGGGGATGATGAGTTCGAGGGCACGAGCTGGAGCAACTCAACCGGAAGAAAGAAGAACAACAACAAAAACAAGAAGAAGCAGCAGCGTCGTCTTCTCAATGGCACCGCGGCGAGCCCTCTTCGTATCCGGGCCGCGGCAGGCCACCATCCTCCAACAGCGCCTCGATCGGCCGTCGGCGTGCCTCCGTCGTCACCGCCACCATGACCGAGACTTACATCAGCCTCAGCCAGGCGGTAATTAATTAATTAATTAATTACTACTCTGTTCCAATCACCACCACACTCTTTCTTTCTTTGTTTTTTGTTTGGTTCTCAATGTAAAATTAAATGCGCCATTGTACTCGGTACATACCGCGGGAGTTTTCGGAGACGTACATGAAGGAGAGCGAGCGCGTGGGGCTGAAGGTCGGGGAGAAAATGTGGGAGATGAAGCTGACGAAGCTCGGCGGCGAGGAGCGGAAGCGGAAGAACACCAGGATCACGGGCGGATGTCCAAGCTCGCCGTTGTGTCAAGTTGATTGAATTTTTTTTTGTCAAATGGGTGTAAAAATTAGTTGGAAATTAGAAAATTATAAATTCTATTTTTTATTAATTTTTTAATTGCCACGTCACTCATTTAACGGTCAACTATTAGAGTTGACCGCCACATCAGCAAAAGTTAACGGAGACTAACGGCCAGTGACCAAACTTGGACTGTTAACCTAATTTAAGTGACTACGAATGGAATAAAGTAATTCTAGTGGCTAACGTAAAATTTACTAGTAATTCAAGTGACCAAACTTGCAATTTAGCCTTCATTTTCCCTTCCAAAATCAGCTGATGGCAAGATGTTGGCGTTGACTTTTCTCTCGAGAAAGATTGACCAAAGATTTGGCTGACTACGTTCCAAGTACAGTGATATTCATATATATATATATATATAGTTCATGCTAGCGTACGTCAGTCGTACATTGTACGCCCGTCGAGTTTTACTATTTAGAGCAGGAATTAACCGAAATTTTGGGCATGATACTATACCCTAACCTCTAATGGATAAACTCCAGTCCCTAATTCTCTAACCCAAGCCACGAGATTCATTTAATCTAAAAAATAATAACCGACGGTTATGATTCAGCGAAATATATTGAAGTGCAAAAACCAAGTGTGAATATAGACGTACATCGTAGGGGTGGACATTCGGTCGGTTCGGTTCAAACCGAACCAAAATAATGTATACCGGGTTTACGAGTTCCATCAAACCTTAAACCGAATTCGAAGGTTCGGTCGGTTCAAACCGAATTATAATTCGGTTCGGTTTTGTATGAAAAACCGAACTTGTGAGGTTAGCTTGTATTTGTTCTCTTTTAAATTATTTTTCACCCCTAATGTAAACAATAAATATGCAATTGATAAAATCAAACATTTCAGCACATAAGTCATAAAACACTAACATAATTCAAATATTTAAGTCTCATAATAAGTACAAACATAAAAATCCACCATTTGGAACTTGCAATTATAGTAATTTGGAAAATCGGTTCGGAATTCGGAAATTCGATTCGGTCGAAAGGACCTTGGTTTCCGAAATATACCCTTTTCTCTTCCGAATTCCGAACCGAATTAATGTTATTCGGTTTCGGTTCGGTTCAGTTAGGTTCGGTTTTACCGAACCGTATGCCCACCCCTAGTAGGCTAGTACATCGTACGACTGACGTACGCTAGCCTTTGCCATGATAATATATATATACAATAATAACACCAGTTCTACTGATAGATTATGTTGCAATAATTCACGTTGATTCGGTATTTCGATGACTCGTTCAAGTTTTCTGACAGAAGAAGAATTGTGTTGGGGTGCGTTTGGATACAAGGATTTGGATTTGGTATTTGTGATTTGGATTTTCAAATACCAAATCATGTGTTTGAATATTAATTACATTTGGTATTTGGATTTGTGTCAAATTCATGGGGTGATTTCCAAATACATGTCTAGTGTATTTTTTGTCAACTTCAATTACATTTCAACAACTAGTATTTTGAAATACCTCCTAACAAAAGAATGGACCTATTTGTAAAATATGAAAAGTTTAGGTACTATAGTGTGAGGCAAAACATATAAAGGTACCAAAATGTAATTTTACCATCAAAATTTCAGGACCGTTTTGTAAAAATTTAAAAGTTTAGGTACTAAATTGTAAGAAAAATAATTTTGGGTACCAAACTGTAATTTACCAAAATTTGTAGTAAGTGACCAGAAAATTAAAAATTGAAATTGAAAATCATAAATACAAAAATACAAACAAATTACAAATGAGTATCCAAACAATGAATTTGAATTACATGTATTTCAAATGCTAATACTTCAAATACATCCATTTCAAATGCTAGTATTTCAAATACCTTACATTTAAAATACACTTATCCAAACGCACCCTTGCTGATTTTCTTCCCCGTCAAAGAATTCATGCATGGCCCTTTATGTGTTATGAATTGATTTCAACTTCTTACTATATTTTATGATGTACGACATATTTATTTATTTATTGGAAAGCAACCTTTTATTCCATCCGGTTTCATTACATAAATGAAACAATAATATTGACAAATGGAAGAACCAATTGAGTCCATTTTGTACCAAATGGAAGAAGAACAAACATATCTAAGGATGACAATTGAACTCGAAGCTATGGGTTCCCAACTCGACATGTCGATCAGGGTCAAATCGAGGGAAAACCCAATGTTGGGATCGGTTCGGATTTTGCGCACTTTTGGAGTTGGTGAGTTGGTCGAGTGCGGATTTTTTGTCAAAATCCAACCCAATTTTCACCCGACCTGTGCCCAAAAAGGAAAGCAAGTTCATTTTAATTTGTATCTTATATTATTAATATGAATATCTAGATATAAATGTTATTAGTTTTTATAATAATATAGTCATAATAATATGGTATTTCGATCACACATATTTACTTTGTACTTTCGTCACTATTTTTGGACTAGCTAGCTAGTATAAATGTTGGTCTCGTTCAAGTCTTGTGACAGAAGAATTGCATGTGTTGCTGATTTTCTTCCTGGTCAAGATTCAGGAATTAATGCATGGCTCCAACTTCTTACCACATAATATTCGCTGGTGTATGACGGTATTTGGAATAACCGGTTGAGTCCATTTTGTACCAAATGGAAGAAGGACAAACATAATCAAGGATGACAATTGAACCGGAATCTATAGGGTATCCAACGCGATATGTAAATCTGAACTCGAATTTATGAGTATCCAACCTGACATGTCGTTTTGGTGCAAATTGGAGAAAAGTCAGTGTTAGAGAGTCGTTGAGGATTTTGCCCTTTTTTAAAAAAACGGAGTCGGTTGAGTGCGGGTTTCTCCAAAACTCAACCCAATTTCCACCCGACCTGCACCCAACAAGCAAAGCGAATTCGTTTTGTATTTTATATTAATAATATGAATGGATATTATTAGTCTTTATCACAATATAGTTGTAAAAAAAAAAATCTATAATATAAGAGCGTGTTTGTTTGAATGAACTATTTTCGATTATGTTCATAGTGGCTGAGCCCGGAATCTAAGTGAGCTGGAGATTAATTGATAAATATATACACCGAATAACTTAAGTTGAAATATAAGAAACACGACCCAACTCGACTGATTGAGATCAACCTTTCCGCCATAAATTATTATTGTTGTTGTTGCACCGCTGAGTATTAATCGTGTGCGTCACCTCAACCTTCCGCCATAAATATCCCCTCATCCTCATCCTATCCCCAAATGAAAATCCCATACGCACCATGGCCACCGACGACGCCAAACCTCCGACGTCGTCCGGCGGGATCCTCACGGCGCGGTGTCTGATAGATCACTGCTTCGATCTAGACGAAGCCTTGTGCCTCCCCGCCGACATCCCCCGACAGGTCGCCGAATCCAACTCCTTGGTCGACAGCCTGCCGGCGGCCGTCGTCGTCGTTCCGTCCGACGGTTATTATCCGTGTCCTATTTGCCGGGAAGGATTCCCGCCTCAGGAGAACACCGGTAAGAGAGTGCCGTGCGGCCACGTGTATCATGCGGCTTGCATCTCCTCCTGGCTCTCTAACTCCGGCGACGGCTCGTGCCCTCTCTGCCGCGCCAGCATCTCCGCCGGGCGTGACCGGAAATGAGTCGGCGCGCGGCCGACCGAACGACTTATAGAAAATGGGCCCCACCTGGATGCTGAAGGGGGAAATTAGTTATTAGTCTCATCTTAATTAGTTGAATAGAGACCTAGCTTATTAAATGTGTGATTGATTGTGTTCACTAATGTAATTTTTTCTTCTTCTTAATAAGTTATTTTGAAAACATGTATCTTCAATCATAACAACTTGATCTAGTAATACTGTCTTTGGATATTTGACATAATAATTCGTTCTAACTAAGACAAGTTTCGATATCACTAGTAAAATGTAAGTTCGGAATACTTTCCATTTTATGTAGTTAGCACGATACGCGCGCGAGAACTAAGTAGCAAAAAACGAGAGCGTGCAAAACAGAGAGGCTATCAGGCTGAGACGTTTTTAGCCTACGCGTGTTGTACGAAACCTAAATGTATAGCCTGAAATTTTTTCAACCATATTCGCACTCCAATTCTCAAACCACCGAGCGACGGTCTGGACCAGTGGCGGACCGGAGCTGGGTTGAATGTAGGCATTATATATTTGCACCACCGCAGATTTGGAATACAGGTAAAATTACATGTAAAGTTTGTAACAAATTCGGAAAAGAGTGGTCAGTGAGAATTTATCTCTCTTCCGATCCTGGAATTTTTTAGTCCGTTTTATTCAAATTTATGACTTTGCTACGGATCTGAACGCGAATCAGGGTGCACCACTCTCTAACGCACCAATCTAACTATTGAACATGCATATGGTCTCATTGTCAACCAACCTAAGAACTTAACCAGCTAGTAGTAACTTAGAGGCTAGCTCTTGGACTCAATATATGGTCTAATTTTTTGGTTAGCGATATAAAACCCTTTTGGTTCGTCATGTACGTAATGTAATGACCAATCTGTTATATAAACCAAAACGTGGATTTCCTAATTGCCTGTAATTGTCATGTGATTATAACACCGGCCACGATTATGCGGCGCCAAACAAAAGCACGTTTTCTTTTATTGGATAATCTATAACGCAGAAACGCAATCATTTGGAAAAGCACAGGCACCGGCGATCTCCAAGCGAAAGCATATTTCCTTTTCATGCGGTTATAACTTATAAGCCAGGCCTAACATTTTT